AGGTCCTCAGAGTATCACCAAGCAAAACCAAATCAAATCTAAACTCTTTTAGCATTCTTGCTTTTGACTTAAGAATGTGAGCCAAAAAGGACAGTTGGGTTCATCTACCAGAATCGGTTTTATATGGAAGTGTACCTAATTCCACATTTTCCTATTTACCTCAATCTTTTTATGAGTTATGGTTGCAGTGGGGAGAAATAAGATAAAAATTATTAGCAACAAGCTATATAGCATACAAGAAGCTTACAAAGTTCAATAAGACATAAGATCCCAGAACTAATCCAGTAAAACAAAAATCAGATTCATTCTGTGCTTTTTAAAAAAATATGCATGACAAACCGTCTTGTGGGTTACTCTATCGCTTGATGGAAAAGCATCTATATACCAGTAAATTGCAAATGTTGGCAGTTGAAAGCCAGCAAATGGATAATACTGAGAAGTATCCCGTGACATTTGAAAGTTTCAATGGGATATCTGTTTCCTGAGAAAATCTACACTCCAGCTCTGTCAGGGCTCTCTCAAATTCACATTGAGAATCCTGCTCTTAATCAATTTCATCAGTGCCTTTTCGGCCACACTCCCAAGGAGAGCTACCTGGGAGTCCCATTAAAAAGGATGTGTTTCCTTTTTCCCCAACAGACATTACAAAAAGAAGAAAACTGATACGTTTTTATTGCATCAGGGAAGTTGGTAATGTTCATAAAGGTAAAGGTTCCCCTTGACATTAAGTCCAGTCATGTCCGATTCGAGGGCGCGGTGCTCATCCCCGTCTCCAAGCCATAGAGCCAGAGTTTGCCAAAAGACAATCTTCCGTGGTCACGTGGCCAGTGTGACTAGACACAGAACGCCGTGACCTTCCCACTGAGGTGGTCCCTATTTATCTACTCGCATTTTTACATGCTTTTGAACGGCTAGGTTGGCAGGAGCTGGGACAAGTGACGGGAGCTCCCTCCGTCGCGTGGATTCGATCTTACGACACCTGACCCTCTGACCTTGCAGCACAGAGGCTTCTGAGGTTTAACCCACAGCTCCACCACGTTCCTCTGTGTTCATCAGTGAACACAGAGTGTTCATAGACCATGTAATAATGGAGTTGGAAGGGGCTTCTAAAGCCATTGAGTCCAACCTCTTGGTCCATGCAGGAATCCAAGTTAAGGCACATCCGATGACTGACTACAACTTTCTCTTGGATGCTTCCAGTGTTGGGGCATTTGCCGACTCCCGAGGTCATGGGTTCCCTTGTCATACTGCTCTAACAGTTAAGAAGTTTTTTTCAGATATTCAGCTGAAATCTGGCTTCCTGTAACTTGAGCCCATTACGTTCCTCTACTCTGGGGTGATCGAGAACAGATCCCGCCCCACTTCTGTATGTTTCCTTTTCAATGCTGCTTAAATGCTGAGGGGGGGGGAGAGGGATAGAGAAAAAACTCTCTTTGGGGGAAACAAGCCCATGTATTTTGGTAGCACAAACCTGATTTGGTATCCCAGAGCTGGCTAGTACAATATGTGGAATAATATCTTATGACTCTCATTTTAAAATATACGGAAAAGGAGTGTTTAGGGTTCTAAGAACTGGACTAGGCGTCCATCTGCATCGTCCCAGAGTGTGCCTGCAGTTTTTGTATAACTAAGGGTGTGATCCCATGACAAAATTGTTGCCAACACACGAAGTATGGGCATTAGCAATTCATTTTACCTGCCAGCGGTGTAACTGCAGTTCAGTTCCCACTCGCTGGGAGGCTTCTCGGTTTTTGTTCTGGTGATATTTTAATATCTTAGTGGTATGGTACGATCCTGGTACAACGGTATGGTACATTTTTGAAGCAAATTCAGCAGGGAAGGCGCCCGCCGTTACCGTTACACAGCTGAACTTTTACATGTATTTTTTTTCCCCGCAGCCAGAATGTCGGTACGTTGGTAAAATTAGGTCAACGCTTTAAAGACGTTGGTAAGTGTTCCATCACTCCACCTCCTGTCTGGAAAGTGACACAGCCCTGGGTGAAGCTCCCACATCAATTGAGTGCAACACATGGCTTCCAGAGGCGCCAGCGCAACTGAGGAAAGTCTACCCATCGAAAAACATGACCCAACATATCGATGTATCAATTAATTTTTTTTTAAAAAAAATTAAAGTTAAGGGGCCACAATAAAACAAGAAAGAAAATAAATCAGTAACACCGTGTCGCCGTCCATGACCATTCAAATGAAAGAAAGTGAATCGAACCGGCCATAACAATTCAAATGGAAGAAAGTGAATCAGTAACATTAAGACACATTTGCACATTCATCCAGGAATATATACCACATGACCACGATGCATTGCAAGAAAAGAATGGGAAGTGTCATTAGAAGCGGATAACATTTCCCTGGTGTGACCACAGCCTAAGTTGGATTATATAACTAAGTGTGAAAGGAAGTGGTGTTTAGGAATGTTCTGTGTGTGTTTACTTAAAAGAAAAACAGGAAAAAGACTCAATTAGTTGTTTTGATGTTTTTCTACCCTGGTGTGACCACAGCCTAAGTTGGATTGTATAACTAAGTGTGAAAGGAAACGGTGGTTAGGAATGTTCTGTGTGTGTTTACTCAAAAGAAAAACAAGAAAAAGACTCGCTTTGTTGTTTTGATGTTTTTCTTTTGATTTCTAACAGAGTCTCACACATGAATGATTTGTGTGAACGAAAGAGATGCTTTGTGTTCTTTTGTGTCTCCCTCTTTCTTCTAACCTTCCTTTCACCCATTGTATGTCAAATCATCTAGTCAATTTTTCATCAAATAGCATCGTGAGGGTGTCAGCGGTAGCCAATCAGGGTGTCGAAGGGAGCAGGGCTTTTGCATATGTAAAAAGGCTTGGAAACCAATGAGGACTTTTGCTCTGTCCTTCCTTTTGGCTGTGTTGGGCGTCTTGGATTGATGCCTGCCTCTGTACTTCTCATTTTGGATCCTTTCCTTTTCAGCTCCTTTTAATTGATTTTTTTGGGGGGGCCAGGGGGCTTTCCCCCTATTTCTTTTGATTACTTGTGCTTTTGCCTGGCCTACCTAGTGCTGTCTGCTGGACTCGAGAAGACATCAAGTGTTGTACAGCAGGACTCCCAAATCTGCATCTGCTGATTCACTTATCCACAGTCTGAAAGTATTAAAAAATATTAAAAGAAAAATCCTGGAAATATATACTCATGGTTCCCTCTAGTGGCCAGTTCTGGTAAGTACTAAAGATGAAATAACCAGAACCGCCCACTAGAGGGAGTCTGAGGTCATGCTATTGTAGAGTGCTATTCAAATATCATTTGCTATAATTCGCATTTTTCAGCATCTCGGGGGTAGTGGTCTTGAAACCGATCCCCCATGGATAGAGGGGGTCCTACTATACCAGCAAAATAATTTTGTTTCTACTTCTTTCATTACTTTTCAGATGGAACTTTGGTGCACCCACGTTGTTGCAAAAGACATGGGTATAATTCATTATAAGTAGTAATGTTCCTGGTAATGGATTACATTCAAGCTCTGGCAATGATATCCATGTTCACTGAGAAAGAAGCCTCTCTGTATGTGGGATGGCAGTCACAGCACATTAACCCCTTTGCTACATTTGAAGGCAAGCTATAGATACCTGGGCAATTCACTGCCACTGGTAGTGTTGCTATATGCTACTCAGCTGGTTCTGATCTATAGTGTTTCTATAAACTGGTGACCTCCAAAAGTCTTCTCATTAATGGCCCTGCTTAGTCCTTGCAGCCTCAAAATTATGGCTTCCTTCACTACGTCAACCCATGGTGTTGATGTGCCCCCTTCCCCACCTCCTCTCACAGCCATCATCCTGGGAGATACAATGGCTTTCCTTTTTAAAAAAATTAAGAAAAGCAAGTGCCATATTGAAATGAAAATGCATCAACATCACACATACACACACACCATATATACATATATATGTTGAGGAGGGGGTTTCTCTACCCTTCCTTTTAATATCACAACAACCCAACTAATACATCACCACAGTTAACACTGCCCACAGTTCTGTTTTGGTTCACATTGATTGCCAGACTAAATAACGAGATTTTGCATTGCACTGAATCATGCCAAAAAGAATACATGCCCTAGTGCTATCCCAGAAAGGTGCAGAACAGCTCTTAAAGGGGAAGAGTCGATCGATCCAAGTAGAAGAACATGTGGACGCCCTCATTTGGCTTAATCCAAACTGTGCCACCGATGATCCATATATTGATCTATATGCACAGTGGACAGACTGTCAGTCTTGCTTTTTTTTTCCTACCGCCTTCAACGTTACCCAGCCTTATTGGCTTTTCCAGCAAACGTTGCCTCTTGGCTGCCAACCAGTGGTACTAAATTAGTCATTCCTCTGGTTGTTGCTTTCGTTCATCGTTCACTTCTTGGCTATTAGCCACAGGTGGCCAGAACCGAATAATTAACTAATTCAGTGATGAATTTGGTGTCCATGTATGAACGGCAGAGCCATGTTAATTTTAAAAATAGTGCAGTCCTATTCAGTTCTGCTGAGAAGTGAGCCTTAGGCACTCAGATAGGCCTCAGTCCTACGGTCACTGAGTTCCACTCGTTTCAGGGTAAGTATATACAAAAAAAAGTATTGTTTTTTTTTAATTCTGGGTTCTGCAGGTCCTCTCGTGGTAATTGAGTGCAGAAGTCTGGTGCCACTCTTAAGCGAGTCAGCGGCCTGCCTTACACAGAATTTTCAAAGGTCATTAAACCTGGTGAAGTTGTGAGAAAGATGTCTTTTCTTTCTCCCCCTGATGGGTTGCCGGATTTCGTCCCAAGCTGCTAAACAATTGAAAATTCAGAGTTATGGGGAGGTGTGGCTTGGCTTAAGAGGTAAAAAAAATCCAGTCTCTCATTTCAAAGAAATAAAAAAAGGGGGGTTACCTGTAAGAGACGTTATAGTATTTAAGAAGATTACAGCTTGTTGCAAACTTTAAGACTGGGAGATTATTCAGAAAAGAAGGGGAATCCGAGAGGAGAGGAGGGAGAGAATGTTTGAGCTCACTGAATTTTTAATCCTTCTGATTCTCTCTCTCTTAATTGTACAGTTTCTGAAGCTGCAATGGATGCGCCAGAAGCTCCCGCCAGGACCGACTCCTCTTCCCATCATTGGCAATCTGTGGCATCTGGGCTTTGTGGTTAAGCAAGAGTCTCTCCTCAAGGTAATTCTGGGGGGGGGCAGCACTATTGGGAGCGGTACAGCTGGCGGAAAGGCAGAGTTTGAGAAGTCCTTTTTAAAAGCCATTGCTTGCATAATTGGTTGCAAAACTTCTCAAAGGAATTTGGTACTCCTACGCAGAGACCTAATTTAGCGACGGGCACTCTTTGTTAATTTTCTGTTACTTAAAAAAGAGAGAGAGAGAGAGAGAGAGATGAAGACACTTAAGGTTGATGAAGGGCTATCATACCCAAAAAGGATCTAAACGTTTTATTCTTTATTTATTTATTTATTACTCTATTTTTGTATTGTAACAAATTACAATACAAAAATAGAGTAAGAAATAAATGACTTATGTAATATTCTTGTGTTATTTTATTGCTCTTTATGTTGTATTGGAAGCCGCCTAGAGTGGTCGTATAGACCAGATGGGCGGAATAAAATCAAAATCTTGTGTTATTTTATTGCTCTTTATGTTGTATTGGAAGCCGCCTAGAGTGGTCGTATAGACCAGATGGGCGGAATACAAATCCAATAAAATCAATCAAACAAACAAACAAACAAACAAACATGCCCTTCCCAAATAATAGTACAATACTAGAAAAACAGGTTCCAGCAGATGAAGACATTGCTGTTCTTATGAAATGTGACCTCATTATCCCATTACCAGGCTCTGATTGAGGGAGATGTCAAAAATTATTTGAAAATGATAATTGTGTTGCATTTCTTATGAAATGTGACCTCATTATCCCATTGTTTCCAAAAAGAATAAAAGCAGTAGCTTTTATTCTTTACCAGGCTCTGATTGAGGGAGATGTGAAAATCATTTGAAAATAATAATTGTGTTGCATGTGGACAGAGCTTGGAAGGGGCTCCTTTTTTTAACAACATACATTCCTCTTTTTGGATGCTGGGAGTTGTGGTCCAAAAATGTAACTGTTTGAAGTGTGGCGGATAAACTGGTAGGCTCAAAGGTTTTATTCTACTCTGTTGATTTCCATGCAAGTTTGAACACATGCAGTGTTTGTTAAAGTTTAGTTAGGCATCCTTCAGTCTCGAGAGACTATGGTAATGTGCTCTGAACAGAGGACTTGGAACAGCGTCTAGTGTGGCTGAGAAGGCCAATTCGAGAGTGACAATCTCTTCCACACTGAAGACAAATCCAATCTGTCCCCTGTCCAGCTCCCTGGTTTTGCTTCCTTTGTGACTTCCTCTTTGCCTCAGCCTGCTGGACAAGGGTCTCTACAAATTGGGAGAGGCCGTGATGCACGGCCTGCCTCCAGGCTGAACGGTCAGATGTCAGGGTTTCCCATCTGTTGAGGTCTGTTCCTAAGGCCTTCAGATCCCGCTTGCAGATATTGTTTGTTAAAGTACTGTTGTTCATTATCATGGCATCAGCTGAGTTGTATTGCACTAGGCACCAGTTGTGGTGTAATGGAGAGAGTGATGGACTCAGACAAAGGAGAGTAAGGTTCAAAGGTGTGATCCGCCATGGAAGCACACTGGATGGAACTGGCAAAGTTGTTCCTTAAAAAACTCGCTTCCTTTGAAAGCCCTGTTAGAGTCACTATGAAGTTTGAATGCCCATCACACACAAAGTCTGTTTTAAATCAAAGAACACAACTCATCCCTTTCTTGGGGCAACAACGATTGCTAAATGGCAAATGTCACAGGAAATCCAATAGATGCAAACTCTAAAATGTTTCATCTACTAAAGAGGTAAACCATCTGACATTAAAAGCGCTAGGGAGCTGGCGTAGCGAAGGTGTGAACATTCTACCAAGAAGAGGGTGAGACCAAATCCTTGGATAAACCCGATGGAGACTAGGTCCTAAAATGACTTAAATTGCTATCTTCAAGGAAAAGTCTGCATGTTGTTTCATTTTTGCGTGCTGTTTCCCCTGACAACCTCAGATTTTTGCGTACCTATTCCCTGTTGTGTGCTTTTCTGCATTCTCTATTCCGTATTGTACAGAACCACCCCCACCGCATGAATGATGGATGAACATTTTTTTGTTGTTGTTGTTTAAAGAGAACTGCCTCAAATTCAGCTCACTGAGTGGTTAAACTGCAGTACTGCAGTGAAGACTCTACTCACAACCTGAGTTTAATCCCAGGGTCAGGTAGCTTGCTTGAGGTTGACTCAACCTTCCATCCTTCTGAGGTCAGTAAACTGAGTATGCAGCTTTGGCCGGGGGGGGGAGTGCAGAACTAAATTGTAAACCACCCAGAGAGAGTTTTAAGCACTATGGGGTAGCATATAAGTAGGGCACTTTGCTTTTTGCTCTGTTTTATTCATAAAATAAGGATAAAATAATTTTTAAGGATCTGAATGGAAGAACACAAAATTAATGGGCTCCCCCTTCCAAGCCGAGGGTTTAACTGTTGAGAAGTCTGGAACTGAATCACAGTTTTGTGGTACTAAAATATGGTTTCCATTTCTTTTATCTTTTACGTGACAGGCAGTACAATACGATTCTTGCCATGGCGCAGTATAGATCATGGAGAACTTGGTACGATTTGGTCTTGATGTGTCAAAATTGCTAGATTTCTCCATAAAAAGAGTAAAAAGCAGTGGGGGGGAGTTGAATGTGGGAGAATGCAATAACTGCAGAGTCATCTATTGCTACCAAAATTTTATTTATTTTATTTAAAATATTTTTAGCCTGCCTTTCTCCTTGAAAAGGACCCAAAGTGGCTTACAATATTGAAAGACAATATTTAAAGTTGAGAAGAATTACACAATGACTGTTAACATCAATGAGAGACAATATTTAAACTGAAGAGCAATGAGTTCTAAAGAGGCAGTTTGCACCATTAAAAGGCAACATGAAAGCTAAGGACAATAAGTATGCAAATATTAAAAAAGGAAAAACAAATATCACTCTGAGAAATGAAAAACACAAGTACAGTAGTACTAAAAATCTAGTCCAGGCAGTAATGCATAATAATCTATTTGAAAATCACACACAGATCCACAAGTACAGTAGTACTAAAAATCCAGTCCAGGCAGTCATGCATAATAATAATCCATCTGAAAATCACACACAGATTGCTAGTTACTGAGGGGAGGCTTGTCTGAAGAGAAAGGTCTACTCTGTCACAAGAGGGCTGAAGCGTGTCCTAAGCCGAACCACTGAATCCAGATGTGAGGCAGAAGCTGCTCTCTTTCACATCCTTGATGTTCATTGCTGATACCACATTTAAGGGGAGGGTTTCCTGGTTCAAAATTTCCAGAACCCAAACTGTGATCCTTTAATCTCATAACTATTGTTGTCATCTTTTTTTTTTTAACTGTTTTAAAATGTCATTTTCTGTTCCTGGAATCTACTGATTTTGCAATAAAACAGGAAATAGGGGGACCCAACCTCACCGTCAGCCCAAAACGTCTAAAATGAAACTGGAAATAGATTTCAAACCGTTCTCTGTTTGCCGTTTTTTGGCCTGTTTGTTCCTTTTCAGGGCTTGGGACAGCATTCTAGAATAAAAAAAATTAGCGGGAAACGTTAGATCAAAAACTGCAGTGGCCCATTCCTGCTTTAATCCCATTTAAAAGAAAAATGCCCTCAAGATTTGGGTTTCAACTTATTTTTGCAGATGCAACTGAACCGTTTTCCTAATCGACATTTATCCACTTTCTAGTTGAAAGACACCTACGGGAACATTTTCACCATGTGGATGGGGCAGACACCTGTGGTCGTGCTCAATGGGTATGAAGCAGTCAAAGAGGGCCTTGTCACATACTCAGAGGAGACCTCAGGAAGAGCCAAGTCTCCCTTGATGACAGATCTAATGGGTGAAAAAGGTAAATGCTGATATCATTCTGAGGTGTGACACTAAAATCACTCTCTAGCACCCCTTTTCTGAACAGCCTTGATGCCTTGGTTTATTTAGTGGTCGTGCTCAATGGGTATGAAGCAGTCAAAGAGGGCCTTGTCACATACTCAGAGGAGACCTCAGGAAGAGCCAAGTCTCCCTTGATGACAGATCTAATGGGTGAAAAAGGTAAATGCTGATATCATTCTGAGGTGTGACACTAAAATCACTCTCTAGCACCCCTTTTCTGAACAGCTTTGATGCCTTGGTTTATTTAGCTTTATTGTTGTTTAGTCGTTAAGTCATGTCCTGCTCTTTATGACCCCATGGACCAGAGCACGCAAGGCCCTCCTCTCTTCCACAGCTTCATGGAGTTGGGTCAAATTCATGTTGGTTGCTTCGATGACACTGTCCAACCATCTCGTCCTCTGTCGTCCCAATCTCCTCTTGCCCTCACACTTTCCAAACATCAGGGTCTTTTCCAGGGAGTCTTCTCTTCTTATGAGATGGCCAAAGGATCTGTCCTTCCAGTGAGCACTCAGGGTTGATTTCCTTCAGAACGGATAGGTTTGTTCTCCTTGCAGTCCAGGGGACTCTCAAGAGCCTCCTCCAGCACCGCAATTCAAAAGCATCAATTCTTCGGCGGTCAGCCTTCTTTCTGGTCCAGCTCTCACTTCCATCCATCACTACTGGAAAAACCATAGCTTTGACTATGCAGACATTTGTCGGCAAGGTGATGTCTCTGCTTTTTAAGATGCTATCTAGGTTTGTCATCATATTTAGCTTTGGCTCCATAGATTTTCAAGGCAGACACTCAACAAGAGTATCAACATCCTTGGACGGGAACTCACAGAAGGGGATGTTCTGCCTCCAGAAACTCCACCTATCCAGTGAGACCCAAGTCTGGCCATTGCCATGACTTACAGGTAGAAGTTACTGACATGGACTGTGACTCCCAAAATCTCCTAGGTAGCATCAAGGCTGATATTCTGTCAAGTGTGATCTAAAAAAAATAACTTTTCCAAGTTTGCACATCATTGGATCTCTTTTTTATTATCTAAGAGCTTAGGGATACAGGCTTTTAGTTCATAAAAGGCCAAGAGATGGCTTGTATTTCTCTAAAAAAAATATAATTAGCTGGCACTGGTAGGTGACATCCAATTAGAGATGGTCACAAATTGCTTCTTGTTGAGTTGTCTAACGTTGTCAGTGTGGCACCACACATGCTACGTTTACCCTGCCCTTACCCCCTGGCCAGCTCCCCTACTCACTACTCAGCGTGTGCTGCTCTTTGTTTGGTCTTCCAGTCCTAGCAGGAACCCGGACTTCCCTTCTCCACCTCCTCCAGCAGCTGCCCACTCAAGGGCTGTGCTGCCGGAATCCTTTCCCCACTTCCTTGACTGAATGGGCAGCTGCAGGAGGAGGCGGAGAAGGGAAGTCTGTCCTCCTGCCAGGACCGGAAGATCACCAGGCGGAGAAGGGAAGTCCGGGCTCCTGCCAGGACTGGAAGATCACGTCAGCGTGTGAAGATATTGATTGCGATATGAAAATATCGACTGACATAAAGCAAGGTTTCTCTTTGTACCACAGGCATTTTTGTTACAAGTGGCCATACCTGGAAGCAACAGAAACGCTTTGTCATGACAACCTTGAGAAATCTTGGGGTAGGAAAGAAAGACTTGGAAAACCGGGTACAAGTGGAAGCTCACAAACTGCTGAAGCTGATAGCAAGCAAACAAGGTACACAGCTCAACAAACAGCTTTGTTTTGTTTTGTTTTGTTTATTTACTTAGTGGCTGAAATTCAGGAATAAGTCACAGTTTGAATCTTCCCATCTGAATCAATGTAAAAAGTAGAAGAGCTGAATCAGCAAATCCCTACTGATTCAGGGGGGCTCCTGAACTTTAGCCACTATATTTCCAGACTTTCTTTCCACTAAATAGCTGAGCAGGTTGGACAGGTCAGTGCTTTAGGTCTCTCCAGCTGTGGAGCCAGAGGTTGGGAGTTTGATTCCCCCACTGTGTGCCTCCTGTGAGTAGAGCCAGCCTGGGTGTCCTTGGGCAAGCTGCACAGTCCCAGGGTGCCCCCTGGAGGAAGGGAATAGGAAACCACTTCTGTTTATTCTTTACCTGGAAAACCCTGAATAAAAGGGATTATTTGTTTGCTTGTCTGCCTGCCTGCCTGCCTGTCTACTTGCTTACTTACTTACTGGTACTTACTTACAGTACTAGCAACACATCATGATCATCATCATCATCAACAACAACAACAACAACAATAATGATGATGATGATGATCATGATCATGATCATGATGTGCTAGTAAGTACCCTGTTTCCCCGAAAATAAAGGACTTCTGAATTAGTGACTATATGAGGCTCCAAATTACACTAATGTACTTCAGCAGGCATAAAATTTGATTGATTGATTGATTGATTGATTGATTGATTGATTGATTGATTGATTGATTGATTGATTGATTGATTGATTGATTAGACTTCTAGACTGCCCATCTGACCCATGGTCACTCTGCGTGGTGTACAACAATAAAAGAGACCATATAAAAAAGAAAAGCATAAAGACATCATAAAGCTAAAACATAGTAAAGCTAAAATTAGTAAAACTGAACATGCCCTTAGATTTTGGTCAGTACAATTTTTTTTCTTTCTTGTTATCTGTAAACTCTTCTTTCTGTTGTTGTTTAAAGCAACATGCATAGGCACATCTAGTATTTTCTTGCATCTACAGGATCTTCCTTTGAACCCAAGATTCCCATCGTCCGTACTGTGGGTAACGTCATATGTTCTTTTGTGTTTGGTGACCCCTTTCCTCAGGACGATGACTCTTTCAACAAACTGATAAAAGCCGTCTATCTCCTTCTCTTCGTGCCTTTTACTTTCTGGGGCAGGGTGAGCTCCCTTCTGTTGTCATTACTTCAAATGTTTTTCTGATATCATTCATAAATTTAGACCAACGATGCTGGAAACAAGTTACCTTTTTTCTTGGTTTAACCTATGTTGATTTCAATGGTCACAATTTCCTTACTTTTAGTAATACAGTTAACATCATGTTTTTGCTTTTAATCAAAAGTTTTTTCTCATTTGGAAATTCCTCTGCAATTTGAAAAGTAGGAACATAAATACTAGGAAATGAAATTCTGCCCTACTGGATAAACTTTACTCAAAGTTGGAAAGCTGGGATTATTTGCAAGGACCTTCCCTAAACACAACCATTTACATCCAGAGGTAATCTGGTAATAAATCTCTTGATAGGGGAGGGCCCATGCATTTCATCTTCTTTTCTCCCTTTGTGTCAGAGGTTGAATTTGCTACAAATTTCCACAAATACTAAACACAATTTTCAAACATCTAATAACATTCCTGAAATTAAAGTGTCCTAAGAAACTGAAGCCAGTAGTTTTCAGTTTTGTGACTTTTGCATGGAGAGGTTTTTAATTTTTTAAGAAATTGGTTTCTATGAAGAAATTTCTGAGATGCGCTTTCTATACATTTCCAATCACTATATTTTTCAGTAATCCTTTCCATGGTAATCTATATTAAAGTGACAAATTTAATGTCAATAAGATAAAATGAAAGCATCATTTCTAAGCACTGGCCTAAATAGACGAATATTGTGAGCTAGGATAAGACTGCTTTTTATTTAATATTTTCAATTGCCTTTTTTGGAAGATAAATCTACAACCCATCTAGACATGTCACATTGTTCTGAAAAACGGTGAGCTATCGGCTCCATCTTATTAATGTTTCCTCCACATGTCAGTCAAGCTTTCTTGAAGGATCATTGGAGGACATTTTCCCTCCCTTCCGTTTCATTTCTCACCCACAGTTGTACGATGCTTGCCCGACTGTTATGAGTCACATGAAAGGACTTTATCGGGAGGTCTTCGAGAGCAATGCCTTCATTCACAACCTAGTGAGAGAGAAAATGCAAAGCCACAAGGAAAGATGGAGAAGAGGCCAGGAAAATCATGATCTCATCGATTTCTATCTTGACCAAATTGCCAAGGTAACGGAATGATTTCCCCCTAGTTTTCTTGTCATTATCCACTGAGGCACAACTTACACCATAGCAAATTTGTCTGTTCTTAAAATGTCATAATCCTCCTAATCCATTCTGGGTTTCAGTCGGATGTTCACAAGAGCTATCTAGGTGTCGAACCCCAGCCAGCATGAGCCGTTCTGGAAACTGTCGTTCAAAAAACTATTTCTCCAACTTCTGAGCATGACCAAGAAAAAGACTGCAGGAACTGACTTTTGTCTATTATGAAATAAACACAATTGTTTCTGTGAGCTTTACAGCTGTTTTTTAAATGACTTTTTGAAATGACATGTGATTAAAAAATTCTAAGCCTAAAATCCTTAGGAGTACCTTTTATTATTATTTTTAAATTAAAATTAAACTGATTTTCTGGTGTTTCTTAACGCATTTGGCCTGCAGAGCAAAGATGATCCATCATCCACATTCAATGAAGAAAACTTGGTTCAAACAGCTGTTGACCTTTTAATTGGAGGGATAGAGACTGTAGCCAACACCCTGTGCTGGGGGCTGTGCTATCTGCTAAAATATCCAGATGTTCAAGGTGGGTACCAACTGGTAGGAAATGTGTGTTCTTTAGAAAATAAAGAAGAAAAAGTAGCACACTGGCCTGATCCAAATATTCTACTCATGCCAGATTAGTAATGCCTCTTTTTGGTGGAGTTACCATCTTGGTAGATCAGAGGTATGCTGTAGATGTAATGTATCTTGAGAGAGGGCCTTCTCAGTGGCTGCTCACAGGCTTTAGAATCCACTGCCCGAGAAGCTATGTTGGCCCTCTCCTTCTTGATCTTCCATTGTTAGGCAAAGACTTTCCTTTTCAGGCAGGCCTTTAAGCAATAGTTGTTTTTAAATTTTTTTAAATTATCTTTGTTTTAATATCAACATAGGTTAAATTGTTTTTAATATAGGTTTTGCAGTATTTTTAAACTGTAGATTATTGTATAGTGATAGATAGATAGATAGATAGATAGATAGATAGATAGATAGATAGATAGATAGATAGATAGATAGATAGATAGATAGATAGATAGATAGATAGATAGATAGATAGATAGATAGATAG